TGCCATTTCAACACTACTTCGAAAAATAAAGAATACATTTTCCAAGCCTTCGAATAACGTCAATATGTAGAAAAATCATATTGGCGCTTCAAACTTTTCGACTTCAAATCAAATATACCGTAACAATATTTACATTTTCAAATAAAACATATGTATATACAAAGGTGGATTATTGCTGGAAAACGAATGAAAGAGAAAAGTATACAGGAGCTAATATCTTGTGAAATATGTCCTTATTTTGGAATTGATGACAAGGAAATTTCATTCATATCATCTGGACGAGAGGACACTGATGTAAGGTTAGATCAAAAACATTGGAATACGTTTTAAAGTATTAAGCTATTATCACCTTCAATTTTCTTCTGATGTTAGAATGCTCGGAAAAGGAAGACCGTTTGTACTACAAATACCTGATGCAAAAAAAAGTTCTTTACCTAAGAATATAGCTGCAGAAATGCAATCACGTATTGACAGTACTAAGCTAGTATCAGTTCAACATTTGCAATTAATTAAGAGGGAGGAACTCATACACATAAAATTGGGAGAAGAAAACAAAAAAAAAAGTTACCGAGCCCTATGCATACTGAAGACAAACGTTAATGCTGAAATAATGCAATTGCTTCTCAACAAGTCTGATGGATTTTTGGTGCAACAAAAAACACCTTTAAGAGTACTACACCATACTTACTTAAAATTTACCATTCTATTACTCAACACTTCTGATCCATTTCCTTCGATTCTTTTACCATTCTGTTCTTGTGATCATCTCTAGGTACTACACAGACGACCATTGCTGAATCGACCGCGGCAAATTTTCAGTCTCAAAGGTTACATTGTAAAAGGTGAAAATGGCTATTTCAAATAAGAATGTGCTCATAGCTTCTGTAGTTGGTTATCCAAGGGGGTGGTAATTTCAAAATTTCCCAAAAAAGTAAAGGGGTAACTTTTGGATTGTCTCAGAACATTTGCCTTAAAAAATCCTAGCAAATTGAAAGATTTTACTTCGCCAAAACCCCTAGCAAAAATCTAAATTTTCTCCCTCTTTAGAAAGTGAAGAGAAAAAAAAAGTCTTCACATTTTTCGCGAAAATCCCTAGCAAATCGAAAGAATTTTTCTCAAAATAAGAAAATTTTTAAGGGGGTAATTCTCAAATCTGCTCCCCAGGGGCAGGGGTTAATCTAACCCCTCGGACACCTGCTCAGAAGCTATGAATGTGCTGTATAAAATTGTATTAAACACTTTTTTTCTCAACAGATCAACCAAAGGCAATTGTTTTGGATGTTTTGACTCAAGCTGGTGCTTATATCAAAGAACTAATTCACGGGTATATATATACTATTCCAATTTCCAATTTCGATAATTTTTCCATTATTTCTTTTTTTCTGATTCACCCCCAGGGATTTCGGGAGTAAGTACCAAGGCATACTTACTTAAAAATTACTATTCCATTACTCTACAATTCCTGATTCATTCCTTCGATAATTTTGTTCCATTACTTCCATTATATGCAATTGAAATAATCACAATATCAACTAGCTATTTATAGAATGTAGTAAGGAAGTAGAAAAGGTTTGATCACACACACACATACAGGTTAAATCAAAAACAATTTGAAAATGAACGAAAATCGCGATAGCAAACAGATTGCATTAGAAAAATTGAGATTTGGTAGTGTTAGTAGCAGTGGAACAGAGAACATCACAAGGAATCAACACGTTTGACATACAATAGCATTCCATCGGGACAAAATCACAATGACAGCAACTAGACAAACGGACATACGAAAACAGCAAAACACACAGACAGAGTGAGTACATTTGAATATTGTATGTTGTGTTTTGTGTATGCGTGTGTTCGTCGATTGTGTCAATTGAACGAAAGTGACTGGGATCCATTGCCAAAGCGAATCATCAATGCCATTACCATCAATGGTGTGGTGAGTAATAAAATTTTTTAAAACCGAATTTCAATTGAATCAATTTCTAATTTATTGTTTTCTCTCTCTATCTCTGTATAGATTGAATACTTGGTGCAATTCGCCGATGGTACACAAACAATGGTCTCTTTCACATGTGAGCCAATGCGTCAACTAATGGAACAATTTGAAAAAGATCGCATCTATCGTTCTGTAGTAAAATTGAATCGATTGAGTGAATTGGACATTCAGAACATTTGGTCAGCTTCAGCATCAGTAAATACTCGGCCGAAACGAAAAGCAGCTATAGCGACAACAACACAGAATGTTGATCACGATGCCAACCATCAAACAGTAGTTCGATTAAGTCGATTGAGTGAATCCGATATTCGAAATGCAAATGCAAATGCTCGCGTTATACGTCCACCACCAAGTGCGCCCGTTTTACGATTTGCTGAACAAAATGAACCGTCAACATCCCGTGGCCTTACTTCCGCTCCAAAAAGAACAACTCGATCGAATAGCGTCCGTCCACCGCCAGCCAATATAACACAAAGGTCAGTATCAATTGATCGGCAACCAAAACTGAAACAAAAAGTCAAAACAGCAGCACCGAAAAAACCCAAATTAAAATCAGCATCATTTACCATCAAAAGGTGTCTACGCAAAACGGTGAAAGACCAAAATGACAATGTCAAAGAAAGGTTTTTAAATCAAATAGTAGTTGATGTAATCAAATTAACCATAATCGATGCATTGGCATCCGGCTTTATTCATTATTTGTTCAACAAAGTAATGGACAATTGGACAGACGCGGAGATATTTGAATTTTTAAATAAAACTGACCGCGGTTTGAAAAATTCGAGTGAAATGATGAAAATGTTTAGAGAATTGTTCCAAAGCGTTCTATTCCAAAATATCGATGAAGGTTGGTCAAAAATGGCACAATATGCGCCTGAACATCGTGAAATGATGATGATGAGAGACCATCATGTAGACTGTAGAGCCAGGAGATAACACGAAATTGAAGGAACCATTCAGTTATCTGTATGAGGGCATACAAATTTCAAAAATAACATCGTCGTACACATGAAACGTCGGCTGTATCTGTTCTTTTTTCATTTGCAAAAGCAACGACTTCGAATCGCCAGCAACGAGAACTGGACAAAGATGACGTCTATGGAACGATTAGATATCTCTTCTATAACACAAACGAAGGCGATGCAGTTTTATTGGAGGTATTCAACGAACTCGAGCCCAACATAATTGACAAACGGAATATGTTTGGCGATGATCGTCTTCAACGTGACTGGATGAAATTTGTGCCGCTATTATTCTGTTTAAATAAGTTCATTTCGCTGAAACAAAATGAAGATGGAATTAAAAAGGGAGTTAAAGGGCTGAGACGATTTAATGATTGTGCCATTGACTGGATCCACTCTTCGTCATATTGGGTATGGCAACAGAGGATTGTTCGATCTTTTGTGCCACATTTAACGTGATCCAAGGCCACGTCAAATGGACAGAGACGTTTTTCTATCGAATTGGCGATTGACACAAAAAATGTGGAAGGATAATTTCAATATTGATTTGTATTTTTTGGACTGTTACGGAAGATTCGAGCGAAGAGCATTCAATCAACTCGTCTATGTGGATGGCGTCTTCATCAGCATCAATGGCATAAAGAAAGCCGAAATGGAAACTGATGAGGAGAAAGCAGCCAGATATGCCAAAATAGCGGCCAAATTGGATAGTGGCGAAATAAAATTTGTTCATGGATACGACCCGGATAAGAAACTCACCTTTGGTGGCATTGATAGAAATCTTACGCAACAAAATCGAGATGATCCCGAGTTATACGATGAGAAAAATGTACGTATTAAATCCGGAACGTATTATCGTTATCAATGATTTTCCACGAAACAAAAAACGAAAGAAGTTGGATAGTGCTTTGCAACAAGAAATGACAAATTATCGGCAACAAGAACAAGCGAACGGAGTTGAAATATCGGAGAAAAGCCAAAATTACCAAGCATTCACCGAATATCGTCTTCGTTTCTTCAACAAACAAATAAACGTGTCGAGGCTATACTCGATTGACTTTTGATGCTTATCGTGCAAAGCAAGTTGTCATGGACAAAATGACCAACACAATGTGTCATGGTGAAGAATCTTTTATTTCTTTGGGCGGAGCCAAAATGTCACCAGGCCTAAAAGGCCATGCAGCCACACCCAAAGTCAGCCGATTCGAAATAACATATGTACAATTTGCTACTAATATTGTGATTTCTTTTTCGTTTCTTTTTCATTTACCAAATAACCACTACCAAATCTTAATTTTAAGCAATCTGTTTGTGTAAGCGCATTTATCCATTAATTTGTGAAATTTAATGTGTGCGCCATACTGAAAGTAAAAAGTACACACAGTGTGTAAGTGTTACACTGTGATTAGATTATTTCAATTTCATTTTCCATTACTACTTAGTACATGTTGATTAAATTCCATTAATTCCATTTTTTTTTTCTGATTATACCTAGGAACGAAACCTAGTATTTCTTCAATCATTGGACATGACATTGATATTATTACATTAGATGTCAACGCAATCGATTTGGAATGGCCGCCCGAAGTTTCTAATCAGTTAGATTTATAGAAAAATCATCAAATGAAACATTAAAAATAAATCGATTTTTTGCACATTTCTTGTTTTTACTTTTATTTACTCAATTACTTTTTTGAAACATTGAAAACTAAAAAAGCTGTTCAAATTTTAATTTGGTTTAATATGCATTTGGATGTGGTGCTGGTGCGTATTTTTCCTTCCGTCTCTGCCGTTCTGCGTTCATTGCCTTTTAGGCCGTAGAAAGAAGAATATAATATATAGAAAATATATAATGGATTTAAATCTTAACAAAACACTGTATGATTGGACAATAATTTAATACCATGTGACGTAGGAATTGTTTTGTCATATTATGACATTCATTAAAATCATCGATTAAGTCAGCACATTTAACTCGACCTTTATCTACGCCGTAAGCTTCCAAGCACTCCATCATGTTCATTTCAAATCGTGCACATTTTCCATACTGCTGATGATTGATAATTGATCCGAAAACATCTGTGAAAGGAGAACGAAAATACGGCGACAAAACGTTGGGAAAATAAACTTCAGGCTTAGGACTGATGTTTTCCAAATGTTTATCGGACTGCATATCTACAAAAGAAATATATGCTTCATATGAATTTATCTGAAATAATGACGTAACGCATTGTAATTATTATAGCCATTCATTTTTTTTGCAAATATTTCATCTATATGGTTTCAGAAGTATCTTGAATAGTTTTGAATTTCGCTTTTGGGTTGAAATATATGTTTTCACTTAAATTACCTTGCTGATGTTTTTATTTTCACCAAAAATGAATTTTTTCCTATGTACTTGCTCCAATCGAGATTATGGTTCTGGTTCTGTCAAAATTTACATGTCACATTCAATATAGATGTCACTTGAGTAGAACATATTTTTGATGACATTTATAGGAACATTGTCAGCAATTGAAAGTCTTAGTTTGCTTTACAACTAAATTTATAAAAAAGAAATTGAAAAAAATGAGCAGTCTTTGGATGGGGAATGTAAGCGTAAAAATAAATAATATTTCTCAAGATATACTTTTAATTACCTTTATTTTAGCTGGAATGTACATATATGACGGAAAATTTCGTTATTAGTGCATTTCACAAAATGGGAGAACAGCCACAATCTGTGCGTCTTATGCGAAATAAATATACAGGAGAACCAGCTGGATATTGTTTTGTGAATTTTATCTCTGATGAACAAGCAATTGATGCCATGCATAAGCTGAACGGAAAACCAATGTAAGATTTTATTCATCTGTGAACCATATCAATATATCAATATTGTAAACTCTTTACGTTAATAAAATTCACCGATTTCTTATAGACCAGGAACCAACCCAGTCGTCAGATTTCGTCTAAATGGTAAAATAAAATTAATATCTTTCGTATAATATTTTAGATTAACTTTTAAATTTTTGTTTAGCTGCAAGCAGTAATTCGAATAAACTTTTGGCAAATGAACGTGAATTTTCAGTCTGGGTTGGTGATTAATATTAATTTTATCTATTCCTTCTGATTCCTTTTCCATTATTTATTGATAAAACAAATCACTTCATTTTTATTCTATTTTTTTGTGTGAATCTCATCTAGGTTGGTGATCTTTCTCCTGAAGTTGACGACTACAACTTGTACCGTGTTTTTTCTAATAAATACTCTTCGATCAAAACGGCCAAAGTGATTTTGGATTCATCTGGTTTTTCGAAAGGATATGGTTATTATTAATACTGAAATATTTTATAGCAAGCAACGAATTTTAACGTTTAATCATCATTATCAGTTATAGTTTCACTCAAATTTAACGTCACAATGGAATGAAAAAAAAAATTGAGAAAAAACAATTTAATTAGATGACTTGATTCAAGAAATAAACTCCACTTACCGTGTACAATTAACTCAAGAAGTAACTCGTACTTCAGCAAGGCCACAATTGAATCAAGTCCAGTGGACTAACAAATAATTGTTATAAACTAATTTCTAAATTAAGCATTGTTTGAATGTTGTTGTTGAATGGGAACTGCTACTACTACGGCTGTAGTTGTCCATAGAATGACAATGGGTCTTTCCGGCGTGGTCTCTTCGGGCTGACCGTACAAATTCTTGAAATAGTTGTACTTGATGGCGTATACGTTGAGTTCGAATACTTCAATTTAAAAGAAAAAATTCCGCAATCGCGACTCGCAATACGTCATCAGGATGGTTTCGACATTGTTGCGGTATTGTTCCCACAAATACTTGTGTCCGTTGTCAAATCCAATAGTAGTGAGCCAAGCAATGAGAGCAGCTTCTACAAAATGACGAAAACCCCGTAACATTAGCGATATTTTGCTCGTGTTATCAATGAGAATTGCCTTAAAGCAGTCGTGTTTTAAAACGTGAATCTCGTGAATCAAATTTCAATGCGTATTGAATTTTTTGAAAACTTTCAAAATGTTATTTTTTTTTTTTTTTTTTTTGAATTAAATAGCCTGTGCAAAGATTCACATGACTACGATACCATAAAGGCATGGTTCACATACAAAATCCACATTTTTGGTGATTTTTTCCGACTTTTGTATGAAAAATGTATTAAGAATTGTTCGCATCGCAAAACTAACGTCAGATTTAATTTTCTCATACCAAAAAACTTCTCACTACCTATTTTTTTACACATTTCTTTTAGAAATTAGAAGACTTTTAAAAGTCAACAAATGGCCCGTCGAGGAATTTACCAAACGGATTTGTACGCCTGGGCCGGTGGGCGCTGGTATCGAAGATTTTTTGTTGAAGATTCAACGAATACGACATCTATTAAAATACATAAAGATTTTTGTAACTAAAGAACACACTGACTCTGATTTTGTGTGTCCGTTTGTATTGCAAATTCTGCACTCAGTCGTCAACCGTAGCTGCTTGTGCAAAATTTACAACACAAACGCATACACAGAATCAGTGTTAGTACTAATACGTTTGCAATACAGCTATATAGTTCGCTAGAGCTGTGTCAAGACAGCAGTAGTAACGAAAATCTTTATTGTCTTTAATAGGTGGCGTATTGTTGAATTTTCAACAAATATTCCCATACAAAAAGTGCTTCACCAGCGCCCACCGGCCTGGGCATAGATTCTTACGGATGAAAATCTAAAAAACTCTAAAAAAGCTATTTTTCATTCTTTCATTCCCAGAAGAGGGACAGGAGAGAAGATTTTTTCTTTCGTTAAAAGCCCTAGCCAATCGAAAGATTTTTTTTTTAATTTTTTGGGGTATCTGGAAACGCTAGGGGAGGGGTAAATGACTTGAACAAAATAGAGGTTCACATGTAGTTTTCGGCCGTGAATATGATAAAAACGGCCTTGAATGTTGAAAATGAGTACTTATTTTTTTGGCGATTCTTCGATGCGACATTGAAACCAATTCACTACTTCGATCGTATTGATGTAGAAATTATGATTCCTTGCGTTGTGAGTTTGTTAATATTCTGTTATTTCAAAAAAAAATCTATTCTTTTGCAACACACATTAATATCATAAGAAAGGAATCAATTGTATGAAAACACTGACACGATGTGATGCGATGCAGTAATTACGAGGCATATTTTTGAATGTAAACAAATTCTGTTCGGAACCGGTTTGATGTGCACAGCAGCCAACTGTCAACAGTCATACTAATACGTTTCGGATTCTGAAACTAAAATCAAATCACTCAAACTCGATGTATACTAATTGTTTATTTTTTTCTGCGACAAATGAATCATTCGAATTTAAATACAAAATTATTTTATAATGATGTTGCATTGTGTCACTTTATGCTGTAGAATATGGAAACTACACATATAATCTACGTTCTATTTAACACGAAAATGACCACCAAAGCGTTAAAGTTTTCAACGTTGAAACGGATAAAAACGTTACATATTTAATAAAATATCATTATTTTTTTTTAGGATTCGTAAGATTTGGCATAGAAGAAGAACAAAAGTCAGCTTTATATGAAATGAATGGTTATATTGGTCTCGGATCAAAGCCTCTAAAAATATGCAATGCTGTTCCCAAACCAAAAAACACAACGAATGCTGTGACCAATTCAACAGATTCAGCAACAATATCGAACTTAACTGCAACGAATTCCATTGCAGATTTTTCTCAATATTATGATCCAACAACGTATTGGCAAAACAATTCATTGTACGGACAACAAACATCACAATGGTATGATCCAGGGGCAAATCACTTAAAAATTACTTATTAATTATTATTGATTGTTTTCCGATTATTTTCGATTATTTTCCGATTACTTATCGATTATTTTAAATTTTATTCTTTTCTTTTGTGATTCTCCCCTTAGGTATGATCCTTCAACTGCAGCCGCCTATTATCAGCAACAAGCTGCAGCTCACATTCAACAAGAGAATGCAACAATACAACAACAAAACGATCCGAATTTAATGACTCAAATTTACAACCAGCAAAATGAAGATTTAACGTTAATTGACCACAAAATTCCGATTGATATAGGTAACGAATTTAAGTTAAATTCAGCGTTGAAGTACATAACGCTTTTAGTCAATTCATATACAAATAACATAATTTCACTCGCCGTCAAAATGGAATGAAATCAGGGTGATATCCAGCTTAAACTGTGCGCTACACCCGAATTAAATCCATTTTCGACTATAGGTGATAGGAATATGCATATCTGTTTTAGCGATAGAATAGCATTTTATTTGACTTTAATGATCTTACTTCATAGTTAACTTTCTAACTTTTTTCGCTATTTTTTCTTCGATTGGTGATGACGAAAATGACTAAACTACTTGATGCTTATTCCGACCGTGAAAATGTGGCCTGGTAATGCTTTAACAATTGTTTATTGGAACAGATCAGATGAATCGAGAAAGCATCGAACGGGATCGAAATTTTTACGATGCACTTGAAAGTTCAAAATGGATGCCCATTGAGCAACTAGAATTATTTTAAATTTCCCCACAAATAGTAAGTCTTCAACATCGAATAAATTTTTTTCAATACTTCATAAAAATCACAACGCAACAACCTAACAATACGAGTCCCTTACAAACTTTTTTATTATCATAAGATTCATTTTTGTAATCACGCCACCAGATGATATAAATAAAACTGTGAATATCTCATTCTATACAATAAAAATGTTAATGTTTTTTTTCTACTTAAAAATTGATTAAAAGTAAAATCTGTACAATGTGTCTATAATAATATACTGGCTACCAAATAGTGATCAGAATCTATTCCAAAACTTCAAAACACTCTCGTATTCGTGGCCGATTTACGCAAAAACTCCCCAAAAATTACATAATCCAAGAGAGTTTTGATTCTGGCCAGGATTTTTCCACGAGTATGTATGAATTTTCTTATGCCTAAAGAAAGTATTGGAAATGATTGAACCCGAACTCTGGCAAAAATCCAATAACCTCTTTCCATTATTGTTGGCAAACAAACTTTCTTCACCAAACTTTCCCAAAATATTAGCAAAATTTGGATCATTTCGACCCACTCTAGCGTTCAAGTCACCTATCAGAATGACCTTTTCACTGCCTCTACGATATTACGTCATTTAGATCACTGTAAAAATCGTCTTGTCGTTCCGAAACTGCACCTTCACAAGGTGAATAAATGCTCACGAATCTATAAATATCTTTCGAAATTTTGACCGAAATCCACATTAATCTTTCATTGACGAATCTATGGTAGATAATCGACGATTCCAAATTCTTATGAATCAAAAGTCCTACGCCCCAATTAGCTCTGCCTCTAGCAACACCTGATAAAAATACACGATAATTCCCTAATGAATCTTCAACCTGACCTTTCACTCGCACATCATTTAAAGCTAACACATCTAAACCAAAACCATTCGCTCTCTCTACCAATTCATACTTCTTCGACTCAAAACCTACTCTTAATTTCAAAGCTCCAATATTCAAAGCGGTCTTCAACTGTGGAGCTCCGGTCAGGTCCCGGAGAGGACAAGCTCCGTGGCCTCCCCTCGTCCGAGGCTCATTGTTTGAGAAGCATGTTAAGCCCTAGCAAATCAATCATATCCAAAAGAATATTCTATCTAGTGTTAACCTCCATTTCTTTTTTGAGCAAATTGTAAGCTATATCTATTTCAATCGTGGAAAAAAAAATTAAATACTGAAAATAAGGTGTAAACGAAAGTTAGTTAGGCTTTTTAGAAAAAAATTCTCTATTTTTGAAAAATTGTATGAATTTTTTACATTACTCTTCCAAATCCATTTTATCTATTGTAAGCTGATTCTCAATAATTCTCGTTTAAATGGGGTTTGTTAATAATTCTCGTCTAAAAAATTTCCAGAAATTTGAATTTTTGTATGGTGGCTATGCCAATATTGTATTAATGTGAAACTTTGCACAGGTTATTTAATTACAAAGAAATAATATTCTTCATTTTGGCATCCTTCTTACAGGCAAAAATCTAAGTTTTTTGTGACTTTTGTATGAAAATTGAAAAGCGTGTCGAAAATTATTTGTATTCTAAAAATTATATCAAATCAGATTCAATTTCCTCGTGTCAAAAAAACCCGTAATATATATTTTTGAGTAAAAACCACTTTAGAAAGAAAATTGCATTTTTCTCATTGGAATCACTTCAGGCATGAAACTTTACTCTATAAAACATACTCGATCAAAATCTAATGATTTCTGTTCCTCGCAACCTCCAATATTATTTGGGCCAATAAACCTGTGATAATTTTGGTATAGCGCACATACATTACTATATTGAAAAAACGTATGATTCGTATTCTTTGACTCCGAAAACAACCAGAAAACAAGTTTCTGAGGGATCTCAGTTTTTGGGCCGATTCTAATACTTTACCTTACACACTCAGTAATAGTCACACACAAAAGTAATGAATTGTATCTCAAAACTAAGCCAGATTCGAACTTCTATGATTTGAGCCAAATTACTTTTTCAAAACACATTCAAGTTTTATTGTCATGTGTATAAAACACTTCTTTCGAAGTTCCCACTGTGATGCAATACGGAAAATCTGGAAATTTTCTGATATAAATTATAAGTTCAGGCGTTCATTCATATACAGTTTTCTAGCATTTTATATTTTGAAAAAGTTATTATTATCGATTGTAATCGATTTAAATATAGCGAAAGAATTGTTTTGGGACACAGCTTTCCGGGCAACTAATTTTTTTAATTCAAAATCGTTCACAATTGTAGATGACACCACCAACGAATTATTAATCTCCGATAGGGATTCGGAAAAGCTGTCAACACGATATTACACGATATTTTACAATATTCTTGAACGTTCTGTTTGAAGGAAATAAATCAAACGCAAATGGATGGTGAAAATAATAATCGACGGCCCAGAAACTTGCAGGTAAATTTATGAAAAAAATATTTTGAATATGATGACATGCTGAATGAACACTATTTAAACTCTAGGGTCTTCTTCGGTTTGCAATGGAAGCAACGAAATCTGAAGATGCTCCAAGTGGTGGCCAACAAATTGAAATAATGGATCCCGAACGACGTCAATTTTTGGAAAATGCTTTGAAAGCACTGACTATTGATGTTATTGAACAACTTCAAAAAGCTGCAGAGGTTATTGGATCAGAAACTACGACTGAAGAAATGAAAATAAGTGCAATGGACACCATTTTGAATAACGTTGATGATATTGATACAGCGATTGATTATTGTAAAATCGGTGGCTTATTCATTCTACTGCCATGCTTGAATTCACCATATTCTACAATTCGTGAAAAATCATGCTTATTGGTATATTAATTTAGCTTTTTCCGTCGATTAAACCAAATCGGAACAAAATAATAACGTATCTCTTTTTATCACGGTTCGTTTTAGGTTGCCGAATTGACACAAAACAATCCATATTGTCAAAAGCAACTTCTGGAGGCAGATGTCTTGCCAAAATTAATTGAACTTCTCGATGAAAATGAGACAGCGGTGGCAGTCGCAAGTATCCGTGCCATAAGCTGTTTAGTTCGAAGCTATGAACCCTGTTTGAAAGCATACACCGCAATTGGTGGTCTTGAGTGTTTGCTTGGTTGCTTGCAACCGCATCAGCCAGAAAAACTCATTACTCGAGCCGCTTTTCTGCTTAATTCATTGTGTTCAGATTTTCCAGCAATTAAGGACGATCTAATTAAACTAAAAGCTATTGAAACTATTTTGCCATTAATTAAACCGTCATCTGACTATAATATTTGTGTGGAAACATTATTGTCAGCATTATGTTCGCTCATAGAATGCCGCGAAGCAATTGAACGTTGTCGTACAGAAGGAAACAATTTTGCAAATACTCTTGAAGAAGTTATAAAACTTGGAATCGATAAACCTGAATGTAAAGAAATAGTTGATTACAGTCATGTACTTTTAAAAAACATATTCGATTCCGGTCAAGAAGGTGAAGTCACAGATCGATAGATGCAACTAGTTTACATCGTATTTTTCAAATAAATGAAACTCAATTAACCAAAAACTTATATTGTACACTTTTTATATTCAAATTTATTGAAAATCAATGTTGTATATCAAAATAGCTTTGGTGGACAAGATTTTGATTAAGTATTACTTGTACTTACCTATAACTAAACTACTTATTAAAACGTAAATCAAATAAAGAGATTGAATGAGTATAACAAAAAATATTCAAATAAAGAGATTAAATGAGTATAACAAAAATACAAGCAAAAAAGACAGCGTATCACTGTAATATTTATGAATGCATACATAGCTCTTCTTTAAGTAAATTTTGACATTTATGTAAAATAGCGTTTTATCTCAATTTTCTTTGAATGTATGTATGACGTTTGGTACTAATGCATAAAACAATTTTCTAGAATCGACGTACTAAATCAAAAAAAAAAATTCACAAAGCAAACATAATATGGGACATTCCATGGTAATATCTTGAATTTGTGTTTTAGAAATGTTTTTTACACTTGAAATATTCGAATACTGACTTTTTTATTATTTAAATTCAATAGATTTTGAATAAGATTTCCCAAAGAGTGAAACTTTCAAACATTAGACTAAATCTTTATATATATCTAATATTTTGATATTGAATAGTATTTTCAATGTTTTTTCGAGTAAATTCATTTTAAATGTGTCTAACTCATTTTATACTAGCAATAATAGTGAAACAAAATCTCGATCACGTTTTTCTACCGAAATTTTACAACAAAATATTGAATATAAATTCTGATTTCGGAGCTATTAATCCATCAAATGAGTTTTCGAATTTGAGAAGAATTTGGAAGGAATTTAACTCTGAACAAAACAATCAATCTGCATGGCTGTTTTGGTAAGTTTAGTTGATGTTGTTATTGAAAACCAAATTACTTTGAAAGTAATTTAAATTCCTATTCATTATATTATTTAAATTTTGAGAACATTTTCTTCACTGATTTTTTTTAAGAAATGTCCCTGCATCTCGTAGGAAATTTCCAAAGCCAAATTTTAACGTTACTTCGTTTTTTTAATTTGTTTTTAAATAAAAAAATAAAATCCATGCCTTCAAATACAGAATTGTGGTTTCATATCAATACCAAGATATTGATTAAGTTTTATATTGAAATGAATATAAAGTACAGTTTATATAGTTAGTAACAAAATAATTTCATAGTACGAAGTAAATTTATGGCGTTTTACTTAGTTAAATGTTATTGTAATATATAAATAGATTTTCAAGGTAAAGATTCGTGCATATTTGCCAAATGAAATCTTGAGAACAAACAAATAAAAAGATATACTTTTATATGGTCTACTTAAAATATATAATATTCAACAAAATATTTCAAGCATTCATTTGCTATATATTTTTCTTTTGAAATATAGGTAAATTGTATCGGCATTACATCTATGGAGTTTCAATTGGATAGTGCAGAATATTGCAAGGCACAACACGAAGAAATTTCAGCATAAGTAGATAAAAAACGAAGCAGACTTATGTAAGCTGATGAAAAAAGTAAACATTTTCTAAAACCTTGTTTCATGAATTGTCCACGACTTGTTTAATAATCATCGAATCGCACAGAAGTGTACGTTTGTGTGTTTTGATTGGTAAGACATAATAGGACCATTTCAAATGAAAGGTATTTTACGCAAATTGCTTCACTATTTCTTTTTATCAGGATCACTACGAACAAAAATAATCAAATTGCGAACCAAAATAAAAATAGAGTGAAACTAAATGACAAGCAACATGCGTCAAAAGGATATAAGACCGGCACCAGCTCGTATTGAATTCAAAGGAATGAAATTTTTGATTACGGACCGCCCATCAGATAGCAACATTCAGAATTACATAGTGGTAAGAAAAAATGAAGTATAGGCTCAAAGCTAATTATGAAGTGTCTAAAAATAAAAAATAAAAACCCCAAAATAATAAAAAGAAATATGTGTCACACAAATGTGGAAAATCAAAAAAATTAAAATATCAAATGATTTTGGTATCTTGACTTTGATCTAAAACGAATCTTATATTATGAGAAGATTTTAAATTAAGATTAATTTATAGAAGAGCCAACTATATGACTTATAGTTGGCTCTTCTGTAAATCTGCTTAATTTCTAATCAAACAAAATATTTGAGCAAAAGAAATATAATTATTATATTTTAATTTATAACTATCTCATATATTTCTCTCTATATTTATATAATAAATAATTTGATTTCGTTTTTCTCTAAAACCATCCGCTTGAAAACCTCTTACTGTCGATCCCCCAAAAAAATCTGAAGAAGATAAAAATATAAATATTTTTTAACATGGTCTTTTTTAGGAGTTGAAGAAGAATAACGTCAGCACTGTAGTTCGTGTGTGTGAGCCGAGCTATAAAATAGATGAGCTAGAATCTCAGGGAATTACTGTAAGTGATTTAGCCTACGATGACGGCACTCCACCACCACAAAGAATCGTTGACGAGTGGCTGGAAATTCTAAGAAAAAATTATCAAGAAAATCCGGAAGCTTGCGTTGCTGTACATTGTGTTGCTGGTTTAGGACGTGCACCTGTGCTTGTGTCTGTAGCATTGATTGAACTTGGCCTAAAATATGAAGCTGCAGTCGAATTAATTCGTGAGAAGCGTCGTGGAGCAATAAACTCTCGACAATTGGCTTATCTTGAAAAATATCGACCCAAATCACGACTCAAAAATAAAAATGGCCATAAGAATTCTTGCTGTGTGCAATAAATTCTAACTATCAGTGACCGCCAGAATGAAAGTGTTCATTTTTATGTCTTAATTGTTCTCCGATCATACTTCCATTGCGATATCTGGCAAGATCATCAAAAACATCATTTCAATATAACCCAATTCAAAAATATGAAATTATACGATGATGTACGTGATAGACAAATGAAGAAAAATTACACTATTGTCATTATTATTAAAATTAAATCATTTCCTGACGAATTGACCATACATTTCCTAATCAAATTATACTAAATCCATAAACATCACAATACAAATTTTCAAAAGTACGAATAACATTCAATATATGTTAATTAATTATTATCAAAAGAATCGTACTAACTGTTTTCAAAGACAGTGTTGAATAAAAACACATGAAACGTTTTTCAAACTCGTCGGAGACAATTACCATTTTAGCATCATACACATTATTGAAAATGAACATTTATACAAATTTATATCTTATTGTGACATGAATGTAATTTATTAGCTAATTGTGCATGGGATAAAATATATTTTGAAAATGAATTATGATGCGCTACAATTATAAAACTAAAAAAAAAAACGAAAGAGAATAAAGAACAAAATAAATGCTCTTATAACTTAAACGACATCTGTTGAATATTTATACTTCTAAAAAGAAAATATAAAATTACTAGTCGACAAAAATGTAACGTTTTTAATACATTTTATCTTTGAAAAATACTTTCACCCATTCCAGAGCTCATTTTCTCGTCAACTGGAACAGAGATTTTGTGCACATTTTCAAAAAACAAACGAATTCCAGGGGAATGGATCCACTTGTTTCATTCACTTCCAATAATATTTCGTTTGACAACATAATAATGTGAACACATCCCAGTTAAATTGCAACTCTAACGATTCATTTGTCGCTCAAATAAAAAATAAACGATTTATTTGGAAATAATTTGCGTAATTTGATTTAAAATTTTATAGAAGAACATCATTTATTGCATTTATTTTTCTTTTTTGTGTAGAGTTACAATTCATATATGACAGCCTGATAGTAAAACCAACACTTAATTTTCTTATGCGTAAAAATAGCATGTATTTTTGTTTGGAGTAAAACAATACCACATATCATAATCGAGAGCAAAAATTCAACACACAAAGTTGAGAGCAAAACCACGACATACGCAAAATCAGAGCAAAAGTGAATAAGCGATATGTCGTGTTTTCGCTCTCAAGTTTGTCTATAGTTCTTTTGCCCGCAACAATCGGAGTTTTGTATTTAAGCCGAAAAAACGGATTTTTTTATGAGCGAGGAGGACCATATATCTACGATCATGTAGATGATAAAAAAATCGCGAAAAATGAAAAAAATAATTAATTTTTTTTTTCTTCGATGCTCAAATAACATACTACTCAATTTTCTGTATCACCTGGTGGAATCAGAATGAAAAAAATCGCATTCCATATCATCCAAATCACGATCTGGACTTTTTTCACTGTTTGAGTGCTCTATACCGAGTCTCCGAGAGTTTCATATAAACTTGCTATGTGATGCCTATTGAATAGTAAGCGAATACCAATCGTGATTGAATCAATAGGCGTCATTTGGCTATTGCAAGGCGAGTTTATATGAAACTCTCGGAGACTCGGTATAGAGCACAAAAAGTGAAAAAAAATTATTTTTTGTTCTCATTTCTCGAATACCGCTAAATGGTCTATATCATGTGGTGTGATCAGAACGTAAAAATTTGTCATCTCTGTCACCCAAATCGTTGTCTCAATGCTATCTCGCTCCCCCTTGCATGTATAAATGTTTACAACGGACATTCTATTCACACACATCTCGCACTTATATTTTGCTGCGCAATAAAATTATTAACAATGTATTTGGTCATCGCTTTGAGTTTTGTGTCGATGACTTTTATTGCGCTTTTTTCTTTCACTTTTTGTGCTCTATAACGAGTCTCCGAGAGTTTCATATAATCTCGCCTTGCAATAGCCAAATGACGCCTATTGATTCAATCACGATTGGTATTCGCTTACTATTCAATAGGCATCACATAGCAAGTTTATATGAAACTCTCGGAGACCGGTATAGAGCACTCAAACAATGAAAAAAGTCCAGATCGTGATTTAGATGATATGGAATGCGATTTTTTTCATTCTGATTTCACCAGGTGATACAGAAAATTGGGTAGTATTTGAGAATCGAAGAAAAAAAATTTAATTATTTTTTTCATTTTTCGCGATTTTTCATACCATCTATATGGGAAGCTTGTATAAAAAACACGGAAGACCGCTGAAATGACATTGACGTAGATCCGTATATATTTGGCGTTTGTCATTTCAGCGGTCTTCCGTGTTTTTCATACAAGCCTCCCATATAGATGGTAAAAAATCGCGAAAAATGAAAAAAATAATTAATTTTTTTTTCTTCAATTCTCAAATACTACTCAATTTTCTGTATCACCTGGTGAAATCAGAATGAAAAAAATCGCACTCCATATCATCAAAATCGCGATTGGCATTCGGTCACTATTCAATGGGTATCACTAGGGGGTAGACATGATTCATTTGATTCACTGTGATTCAAAAGATTCACATTGTTTAGATGACATTTGAAATGTCACTTATGTGTCATGAAAGAAGTATTTATTGATAAATTAAAATTATTTGTCTTCGAAAAAATGATTTTTTAAATGTATTAACTCATTTTTTTATCTTTTTCGTGTTTTTATAGTAAATTTCAAATAAAATCAACGATAATATTTAGAATTTGTTGAACGATCATGTTAATAAAACCAAAAGTGATGCTTATTTGACATTTGAATGATTCACTGTGATTCACATGATTCAAAGTTTTATAATTCGTGTCTACCCCCTAGGGGTATCACATAGCAAGCTTATATGAAACTCTCGGAGACTCGGTATAGAGCACTCCAAAAGTGAAAAAAATCCAGATCGTGATTTGAATGATAAGGAATGCGATTTTTTTCATTCTGATTTCACCAGATGATACAGAAAGTTGAGTAGTATTTGAGAATTGAAGAAAAAAAATTTAATTATTTTTTTCATTTTTCGCCATTTTTTACCATTTACATGGGAGGATTGTATGAAACACACGGAAGACCGCTGGAATGACACTGTCGTATCACACGCGTATAAAAAAATCAATTTTTCGGCGTAAAAACAAGATCCCGATTGTTGCGAGGAA